GCGTCGTTAATGCGATTAACCGTAGCTGGCTGGATGAAAGGGCGATCGCGAACGAGCTGGCTCGCGTGGGTGTGCGGCACGAACGTCCTCGAGGGTCGAGGGTCGGTTACCACCCTCTTATCTGACGCAGAAGGCCCTCGAAGATCGTGGCCGGGACTTGCGGGTATTGTGTGCCGAGTACCTGTGCCCCGTGCTCGCCGTTCCGCCAAACACCGTGTCCTTTATTTTCGGGTAATGTTGCGTGATAACAACCGACGCTGACTGGGGCCGACCCTCCGCGCGGAATTGCTCCGCCGGGACGATTATTAATATCGTCGAGCTGGCTCGCGAACAGGGATCCGATCGTTAACGGAAAGAGCGCCACCCTCGAGGTTACGCTCGCTGATTTTACCCAGGGTTTCATCCTTTTTCGAGGCCCGGGAACGACCGTCGCGGATCGATCATCCTCCAGGAATTTATTTACGGCGGATCGACACGCAACTCGTAGAATCTCGGGATCGGAGCTGTGTTCCTGTACGTTCCGGGCGTGTCCTCGGTTGTGTGTACCGTGATTTAGGGACGTGAAAGAGGACCGAACGATCTGGGAAGTAAAGTTAAATTTAGCAGAGGAATTGTGGCCAGAAACAGTTGGAGGAATCGAAGAGGTTGAGCTGTCTGTGTCCGTAGCGACTGTGTCCGGGACCTATTTTCTCATTGACACGTCCATCTTACCATTGATTGAAATTATAGCGCAGTGAGAATGGCAATATTCGTAATTAGACTGCGCATTCATGGCGAAATTTAGTGAGTGAAACAAAAAGCATTGAAGACATGAAAGGAATTTTAGTATCTAGTTATACTGGTTTCAATTTATCGATACTATTAAAAGAATCTCCGAAGTTCCGTAGAATCGATGCAGACAGTTTTTTTATTCTGCATATAAAGTTCGCAATCTACAGGGTGTCCCAAGAAAGTCTCGCAATCCAGAGAGATTGCAAGATCATTTGAAGTAACGATTCCTGAGGTCATTTGAAGTAACTTTTTCCTCAGCGAAAATGCAATCCGTGACTTCGTTTACAAGTTATTAACGAAAAACACGGGCCAATAGGAGGCGAGCTCGGCTGGCGCTGGCCCAGCCAACGAGCGCACGAATCTCAGTTCCGCCCATTGGCTGGGCCATCCCGCGCCAGCCGAGCTCACCTCTCATTGGTGAGCGTTTTTCGTCAATAACTCGTAAACGAAGCCGCGGATTGCATTTTCGCCGAGGAAGAAGTTTCTTCAAATGACCTTGGGAACCCTTAATTTCCGGATTACGAGACATTTTTGCGGCACCCTGTTTATATAACTATAAAAGAATAATCCACTTACCTTGTCCATAATAATATTTGTTGCTTCGAAAATGCGAGAACTTAGTCGAAGAATAAGGGGACGAAGGGAGGAGAATGGACACACGATCGATTCCTGAAATAATGGCTACTTTATTATCATAATTACGAGTACCATCCATACGTCACAAGTGAAAAATATCGTTCGAACAGATTTTATCGACAGATTTTATTATGTAATATAAACTTATATGTTATACATTGCTACATGTTCTTGCTTAACGGCTAGGTCCTATCGGCTAGGTCCTTAGAGGCTAGAATGCACAGTGACTTGTACAGAATCATCCTCCTTCCCTTCCCTTTGTCGCTCTCTCTCTCTTCTCTCTCTCTCTCTCTCTCTCTCTCTGTCCGTCTCATTGATTTGTCATCGTTCCGGTGAACCGTTCGCGCGTGAGGATGGCAGAAGAGAGAAAGAGAATAATAAAGGTGTATGTGTCCTGCTGTATCTGTCCGTGTGTCGGCGTGTGTTTAACAGAGGGTCGGAGGGGAGAGAGGGCGCGTTTAGAGAACGGAACATCGAACGCGGGAGAGAGAAAAACAAAAAAAAATCGTGTTTGAGGACAGAGAGAAAGGAAAAAAGGGCAATAAGAACCGGAAGGAGGGCGGGTTGGGGGGTGACGGAGGAGGGGGGAGGGAGGGCGGGCAAGGTACACATTTACACGAGCGTCTCTTTGGTAACGTCTCCTGCTTGTTATCTCGCGCTTTTATTTCTTAGGCAAAGTCCAGCTACTACTCCCTTTTCTCTCTTCGTGTTGTCGTTGAAAACTTTCGTCGCGGAACCGTCCCCTCGAGCGTTTAGTTTATAAAACGTTCATCCTTAATGCTGCTAAAACTGCGACGGCTTGCTCCTGCCTCCGTGACACTCGAAACCGAAGATGGTAACCGTTTCTTTTCTCCACTCTCTTCTCGCCTAAGCCTCGCCCCGATCGAATACTACTACCGCGATCTAATAATCAATTCCGATCGATCGTATTTTCATCGATCTTCCACCGAGAGCCTCCTCGAATCTCGTCGAGATCCGACGCTTTTGTTCACGGTTCGGCGAACGGGGAGGAAGGGGACAAGCCGCGCGCGTACGAGCCTAATCAATTAATCGTTTACGATTGAACGTTAGTTGTTAATTATTATCGTTAAATTTACGCCTAAGATATAATACACTCACCTAAGACGTACCTGATGATATCTTTTCCTCTTGCTTTGTAAAAATTTTCCCTATCGCGCCACGAGAAACGGGCATCGTAGCACTGCCGGGCGAAAAGTGAATCATCCCCCCATCGTAATTGTTCCATTCGTTCTTCGAACATATCTTTTGTCGAACCGAACCGAGCTCGAACCGCGCTCGAAGCAAACTAAAAAAATGACAGCAGCACTTGGTGGGACGACCTCGATCGCGAACGTCGCACGAATCGTCGCCAGCGAATCTCCGATTCTCCTCCCTTCAGAATGACAACGGATTACGGCTACGTGGTACTATTTTTTTTCTCGGCTTAGCAAACTGATCGAACGAACGCGCGCGCGCGTGTTCCCGTTTAATTCCTTTGTTCTCATAATCGACCTCGTAAACGTGAAGTTTTCGCGAAGATCCGCACCGCGTGGATACAAAGTTCGATGGAATTTCGTGCGGTCCGATGTCGCGCCGTCCCGGTCCCGCCATCTTGGAAAGACCGAGGACCGCAAACGTTATCCAGAAGCTTTTTGTAATCCCCGTGAATCGTTTCCACGATGGCGGAAAGAACCCGCCCCGGTTGACCGACGATAAAAACCGGCGAATACTTCAGGCTAACGTATTGTTTTCGTTTCATCTCGGGAGTCTTCTCGATCGAGATAACATCGGGGCTGCACCGGCGAGACGAAATTGACTCGAGCCAGAGTTCCAACTGTTTGACCGGGTAAACTCGTTCCGCCGCGGCGTACAATGGAGAGCCGGTCGATCCCGGTCCCGGTAGATTATCCCCCAATTCGCTTTTAACGAGGAAGAAATTCCGAAGAGAGTTACGCCGATAATCCGGCGGGAACGATAACACTCGAGCGGTGCGCGCGCGACCGCGGGCGAACAACCACGAAGAAGACGGGCGCACTCGGTTAGAAGGTCAATGGAACGGCTGACCAAGAACCCGCTGCTACCAATAAAGGGACAGGAAGACGCACGGCCCTCCATAAATTTCGGGTCACTGGCTCAGATTCCATTCCATTCCGTCGCGTGCTCCACGGTACTCGGGCCCGATCCTTTTCATGGCCGCGATTTGTACGCCAGCTTCCGCCGAACGAACACACGAGCCCCGGGACCCGGCGATCATCGTCCAACTCGCGAATATGCTTCGGACACGACGGAACAGCCGGCTGGCTAATTTACAAGCTACCCGGAGTTCTTCTTTCTTTCGGAAATGGAACGTCGTCCCGTTGAACGAACACCGGGAGCACGTGGACGGTTCAGAAGCCAATCAGCGCGAGTCGCGCAACGATAACGCGTTGATAGACGAAATCAAAATAATTGTAAGAAAGAATAAAAATAGAAAGAACCAAAATAGAATAAATGTTAATATTATCCTAAATAATAATCGATTTAAAATAAATGTTAATATCATCCTTTCTTATTTCATTGTATAATAAAAATTATGCTCCGCGTCGTTAACGGCGTTGTTACTATTTTACAGCTAATTCGCAAGATTCTCATTCGCCTGAATTCTAAGGTTCACGGTGCTACACTAATTGGCTCCTGAATTGTCCACTTTATCATAGCAAACGCGTGCGAAAGAAGCGTTTCAGATCGTCGTCACGGTTTCTTCGCAATTATTTCACAGTCCATTGCACGGGACTTTTAACCAGTTAGCTGTGTTTGGCGAGTATACTCGTTATGGAGAAGTGGCGGTATTTTGTGTCATGACGAGTATACTCGTTGTACGTAAAAAATAGTGACCATTGGCTATTTAAATCGTAATTTAAATTGTAATTCTCAAATTTTAAGATGTTTAGAATATTTTGTGGCCAATCCTACAGGAAGATATGTTTACATTGTTATTAAAATAAGATTAGAAAGGGATCACGATATTGGTGTTCGACGTGCAAATTGCCATTATGAATCGTTCCTTGCTTTGCTGAATTTTTTTAAATTTATGTGATTTTTCCTGCATCTTTCGTTTATTATGTATGTAGTATACGCTAATGTCAAGTGACTCTAAGTAAATATTAGTAATATATAGTAATAAATATATTAGTAATAAAATTGTTAAATTTATAATTCTAATATATTAATTATATATATAAATATAAATATATATAATTTATTATAATTATATATTATATATATAATATAATATAATATTATATATAATATTATATTTATATATTAATTGATGGAATTTCGTTTCCTGGAAAACGTTTGTGGTCCTCGGTCTTTCCAAGATGGTGGAACCGGGACCGCGTGACATCGGACCGCACGAAATTCCATCAATTATTTATATATTAATATTATATTTGTATATTATATATAATATTATAATTATATAATATTATATTTATTTTATATTATAATAATATAATTATATATATATATATAATAAATTTATGAATTTATAATTAATAAAATAAAACCCTCTCCTTGATCCAATACTTTGACAGCGAAGCTTACTCTGTGTGTGACGAGTATACTCGCTATCGCTTGATTCTCGCTCTGAAAAGGAGGCGCCACAGCAAACTGGTTAAAATCTAAGAAACTGAAAGAAGCGCGAACTTCATCGTCGAAGTTGTTCCGAAAAATCTTGGCAATTCGCGCCACGCGGGTCGTTAGGCGCCCCGATCTCGTATTTCCTAGCCCGGTGAGCCAGAAACGCGGAGTCCCCGTGTCTCGAAGTCGACGCGCGTTAATGAATTTCGGCCGGATAAAAATCGCCTAATTCGCGCGCCGTTATAATTTCCCGTTTAATTGCCGAGGAGGCCGCCGGTTCAGGATCTGAAATTAATTGCAGCGACGGTGCGGCTGCGACTTCGAGGCGGAACGGCGCGACGCGTGTGCTCCGCGGGGAGACACGCCCGGGGCTCGCGGCGATCCATCAGAAATTTACGTACGGTTTCCGCGGGCGTAATTCGCCGGGGCGAACGTGGGATAGGAACCGGGGAACACGGACAAATTCCTGGTAAGACTGGTCGATCGAGTCGCGCGAGCCAGCCGTTTGAAATTCCTTCGGAAACTTTCCGATCGATCGGGCTCCACCGGTTTCTCGCCGGAGACGTAGACACACGATGTTCCCTGGCGCGAGTCGAATGGGCTAATTGCGTTCAACGCTTCAGCCCCGGGGAATTGCCGGCGATTTTTCGTGGCCCCAGGAAAACTCCGGGCTTTTCTTTGCTTCTCTTTCCACTTTCTTCCTCCTCGCCGCCTCCTTTCTTCTCTTTTTTTTTCTCTCCCTCGTGCCTCGCGCGAACGAACCGGGACGTCCGAGAGCATGAGTTTCTCTCACAGGATCTCTCGGGCCGGGAATTCGCTCTTCGGCCCGAAAGGATAATCCGCGGATCTTTTCACGAACGCTTTTAGAAGTTTTGCGGCAACGACGCGCGGTGGCCACTGAGAATTATTCGAAGGATTTAAGACGTTCGCGGCGACCGGTAATTCTTCTGTTTCTCGGTGCTTAACGCGCTAAACGTCCGACTGAATTCTACTTACAAATTGAAAAAGCGCCGCGTGAGATTAGACTGAAATTTGGAGGACTTCTGCCAGAATGCCGGGCGAAAAGCAATCTGATTAATAGACTGCGGATATTTATGCGAAATGAAAATCTTGCGCATCGATTGCAAGAAACAACGACTGCATGGACGCTCGTTCCTGTCTCGGATAACTATAATGATTTATAAATAATAAATTGTGTCATGATAATAATAATAATAATAATAATAATAATAATAATAATAATCGAATTGTTGAGTTATTCTGATAATGTCACTGTTTTGTGTTCCAGCTATTAATTTTCGTTATAAAAGCATAAAATCCTCGGTCTTGTCAGTGATTAACGATCGTCAGCTGTCATAAATTATCATGAATCAGATGTAAATTAGTTATAATAACTAAAGTATTATAATCGTAAATCATTAATCAGATTAGTTTTTGCCTTATTATTATTACAATAACGAATATGCAATCATTAATCACTAATCAGATTATCTTTTTCTATTAATTGTTTAATCAGTTTTCTTTCTTTCTTCAGACTTTCATCGTCCGTTCTGCGTTCCGATTTTTCCTCCACGTATTAAGTAAACGTACCTCGGAAAAATCTCTAATTATTCCGTTAAAAAGCTTGTTGGTAGTTCGAATAATTATCAATGATTCTGTACAGCGGCGAAGTTTCGTGAATCGTATTGAAAACTCGATCATCGGGATTTCGGATTTTTCGTTCGCCGATCGATGATGCGAAGAGGATATTCAGGCCTCGAAAGTTTCGGAGACAATTGTACCGGTCGATGGTCGTCGCCTATCTATCGGATCGCCCCGGGGAAACCGTGTGACGTTTTTCGTTCGCACACCAAGACGTGCCGTTGCGTACGATTTTGAACAATTTCGTTTCAGAAGCAAAGCTGCACGAATCCCGAACGATCCCCAACAGATCGAAACGAAGGTCGACAGGTTCCCTCCAGCGAACAGTCGCTACAGAATCCACACCTGCATCCACTCTTCATGACTATTACAAAATATTCGCGACCATTCGCCGACGAATCCTCCGCTCGCGAACGCGAAAAAAAGGGCTCTCTCTCTCTCTCTCTCTTTTTGCCACCGTCTTTGGAAGATATCTTTGGAGAACGCAGCCGCCTTTCTCGTCCGGTTCGCGAAGTCCCTGGTGCTACGACTCTACGATAAACGTTATTGACGCATTCTAGCGGATCACTAATGACGATCCCTCGCTCGATTCTCGCCTAGGTGTGTCGCTCGGGGCCCGCGGGCCCCGGACTCGCTGATGCTCGGGTCGTCGAATCTTGTCTCGTCCTGTCTCGTCTCGTCTCGTCTCGGCTCGGTGGACCACGTGCTGTCACGGGATCGCTTCGCCGACGACCGCGACTACCATTGGTAGCTGTCGACGATGGATTTGCTGTCGGAGCAGGGGCTCTTGCTGCCGCACCATTTCGTGTCCTTCAACGGCGGACACGAGGATCCACCGCGGCGGGGCTTTATCGTGATCTTCCGCGTCCTCTGGGTCTCGCCGACCCCGCAGCTGCGACTGCAGGCGCTCCACGGGCCCCATTCGCCCACCTTGCAGTCTCTGGGAGGACCTGGAACAACGGGCCAACGTTTCGCATAACTACAATCGCGATCTATCTGTAAAAACCGCTGAATGGTGCTTAATAAATTTTTATTTCATCTTCTCTTTATTTTCGATATTTCAACAGGACAACCTTTCCGTTATTCTTTCGTGAAGAACGACTTGGTCGAAAACGAAATTGTTACGACACGAGAACGATTCGAGAATATTTTTATACTATTTTATTTTATACTATTTCATCAACGTCATTGAAAGAGGAAAAATGAAGCATTTTCATCCGACTCGATTTAATCGATTTTAATTCTGCAGAGAGATCCGCGGTCTAGCAATTAACCGTCGAACAGACGAATGAGAACAAGATGGCGAAAGGCAACAAACGGAACTCACCGCGATAGAGAAAAACGGGAATTATAGGTGGAAAATTGGAAGCCAATTAGGGGAAGCTATGTGTATGTATGCTTTTTCTGCTTCTTTGAACGGAACCTGCACGCGCGCAGCGAGATCGCGTCACGGTCGACGACCGTGATGCAAGCTATGCACTGGGAACAGTGCAGCGCCCGAAAACCAACGGTCCATTAATCTTCGGAGAATGGATAATCGGTCAATAATACGAATATCCAATCGCGAGAAGAATTAATTCGCACGCAAGAACTCCGCGCTGTTAATTTACGAGCCCCGTTTATTTTACGGCGTTGTTGTTCCCCGTTGACACCGCTGTCTTCGTTCTTTTTAGGAGGAATCTTCCCCGGCTATTGTCAGCTCGCTGCGGATGATTTACGAGGTGGCCGTATACTCACGCGATCTCAGACGTTTCCCCTTGGACGTCAGCCGGTGATGCTTCATCCTGAGCCTGTGTTGACGCTGGCTGCCGCCGTTCTCGGTGGCGTTCCACGGCCGGCCGGCCAGACTGTTACTTCCGGTCCCGTTCGCCATCTTCCTCTGTATGTCCTCGAAGATCTGTGCCTTCTGCGCCTCCGCCGTCTGCCTGTACTTCTGGTAATACGGCCAGTTGGTCTTCCCGTCGTATCTCGAGAGCTTCGGGCCGGCTGTCGGGGCGAGCCGTGTCCTCTCCATCGCGTACAACGACGCGATGCTGTCCAAGATGGCCGCCTTGTTGTCCCGGGGAACCTCCGTCACCCCCTGCCCGCTTCCGGTCGTCGTCCAGTACCTGAGGACAGAGGTAATCTCGTGGAACCGTACGTCAAAGCTCAAACGTCTTACAAATTACCGGGGAAAACACTCGGTACGCTCGCGACCGACGTCATCCAGCTTTTTTACAAGATGGACGACGTCGGGACTACACACTCTATATTTATTCCTTTCTGCTCTGTTCATTTTACTCATTTTTTAATTCTTTTTTATTCTTAATTTATTCATTCTTCGCTTTCAATTTATTCTTCGGTTTCGTTATTTACGTTCGGTGATTTTTGGGGTGAAAAAGGGGTGATTTACTTGGGAGACTAGTTTTCAACGTATTCCAGCTTTCATACAAGATGGACGACGTCAGGATTAAACACTATATATTTATTCTTTTCTGCTCTATTCATTTTACTGACTTTTTAATTCTTTTTTATTCTTAATTTATTCATTCTTCGCTTTCAATTTATTCTTCGGTTTCGTTATTTACGTTCGGTGATTTTTGGGGTGAAAAAGGGGTGATTTACTTGGGAGACTAGTTTTCAACGTATTCCAGCTTTCATACAAGATGGACGACGTCAGGATTAAACACTATATATTTATTCTTTTCTGTTCTATTCGTTTTACTAACTTTTTAATTCTTTTTTATTCTTAATTTATTAATTCTTCGCTTTCAATATATTCTTCGGTTTCATTATTTACCTTTGGCGATTTTTGGGGTAAAGAAGGGGTGGTTTACTTGGGAGGCTAGTTTTCAACATATTCCAGCTTTCTTACAAGATGGACGTCGTCGAGACTACATTCTCCATATTTATTCCTTTCTACTTTGTTCATTTTATATCGATTTGTCCGTTTTTTAAGAGTTTAATTTAGTCACCGGTCTCTTTATTTTGGCATTTTTGGGGAGCAACGAAGAGGGTGGTTTACGCGGAAGCTGGGTCTTCGAGCGTTTTTCCAAGATCGACGATCTCAAGAGCTATTTTATTGTCATAGTTAATTTCTTTATATCATTCTGTCTATTATGTTATTCAGTAATAGTTTTACTATAAAATCTATGCATCTCGTAGCAAATGATATAATAGTTTGACGTGATTTAACAAAGCCCGAGTTTCAATAATGTTCAGCACATCGTGTCATTTTCATTTGCTAAAAATTTAAAAATTTGTCTGAGATCAGCGTTGCAAGATAGTGTTAAACATGGCCGACAGAAAGTCGGTTTCGCTCGAATTTCCAGACGGTGGCCTCGTGTTCGTCGAGCGCCACTCGAAAACAATTTCAGGCGTTGATTTACGGTTGCCATGTCTACGCCGAGGAAAAACTTGATCGAGGTGAAGGGAGGAAAAAAGGAGAGCCCGAGAGAAAGGGAGAAAAAGAGAGAAAGAGAAGGGGACACACATACACATACAGCAAAGAAAGATAGAGAGGGAGACAGAGAGAGAGGGAGAGAGAGAGAGAGAGAGAGAGAGAGAGAGAGAAAGAGAGAGAGGGAGACAGAGAGAGAGAGAGAGAAAGAGAGAGAGAGAGAAAGAGAGAGAAAGAGAGAAAGAGAGAGAGAGAAAGAGAGAGAGAGTCGCGTTTCACCGACGAAACTTAGGGTCGATACACATCTACGTGCTGGACTTTGGGATAACCCTGACATAACCCTGGCCTAACCCTGGTATAATTCTGACATAACCCTGACATAACTTTGGCATAACTTTGGCATAATCTTGGCATAACTTTGGGTGTTTAAACTGCAAAAATAAAAATTTTGCGTAGGATGATGTTTTATTGCTTTTCTAAAACATTTAAGTTTATTATGAAAAGTATATTTATATTTTTCATAAAAATCATTATAATCTTACAAAACTTATACCGTGTTTGGTTTCGTTTTAATCAGAAAAAGCTCCGAATTGCATTGGCGAATCCGAAAAAGATAAAGTTAAACTCCGAATCTCGGTCTAAGGCGCTTCAATATCGAGGTCATCGGTCCTGCCTGGCAGCATGCTCGCACGTCTAATGTGAGCACTCTTAATCGAGCACGCTGCTAGCAAGGCACGCGTAGCGTGAACACTCGAATGTAAATCAAATGTAAAAACGATTCGGCCTTGGTCGGCCTTGGAGCACGACCGAGCCTGGCACGCAGAGATGTGACTCGACCCTTATTCATCCTGCATCGGTACCGTTCGTTCTGCCCGTGGAATGTTCGATGTTCTCGTGTTTCTCGACTTGCATTGGAAGCCTATATACGCGGACGCCCATTGGCACCGGCTCGAATTTCTCGCGAGGAACACGAGCCGAAAATGATCGAGGGTGCTGTCATCGAGAAACAGGCTATCTCGGAATTGCGAGATTAGCAGCGGCGTGAACTGCACCGCATTTCGAAGTTGCTGCGACGAAGAAAACATCGTCGAATAAAATAAACGATCCTAAAACTCGGCCATATTGTTGTATCGAAAAGGATCGCCGGTCCAGACGTTGCAGTATCGAGAATTACAATAATGTCTCCCTTACTGACGCTCAGATTGTGCACAAAAATGGACAGTTTGGGAAGAGAAGATACGATTATTCGAGCCTTGCAGCTTGTTTTTATAGCTGTTGACAATTCGTAACTATAACAAATGAATCTTCTCTTTTCCATTTTCCATCCTCTCGCGTCCATTTTTGTAGACTATCTGAGCGTCAATTAGGGAGACATTACTGTAATCCGATCCTTTGTAAAAGTTGACCGCGTCTCACGCCGCTGCGTTCAGTTACATCTTCGCCATCCTCTTGTATTTTTTCTCCAAATTTTCTGCGATTTGTTCTTTCCTCGCAAACTCGGCACGACGTCCCCGAGTTTTTTCCATATATTGTGCAGAATAAATTGAAAAGAACAAGCGGTCTTCCAGGTCAGGAATTTCGAGCGTTCCTTTCGCAGGATCCTCTTCCTGATACAACCGGGCCGAGCAGCTCGCGTTTTTTAATTTATTCTTCCCGCATTTGCATGATTTCAATTCCCCCCCTCCCTCTCTCCCCGGAACGAAATCTGGTTCGCGAGGGGGTCGGGGACAAAACTCCGACTTCGCCTTCAGACCGCGTCAAACCCCGGCGGGATTTCATTCCGCGTTTTATTCCGCGACTTCCGGTTCTTTCTGAATGCTCGCTCGCCAACGGCATCGAGGATTCGATTTTTCTGGCAGGAACTCGTTATCCTAGACACGGGTAAACACAATCCTTTCTCTTTCCATCGTTCTGGAAAAATCGGAAAATTCCAATAGCCTCGCGGTCGTTCTATTTAACCCGTCGCCTTAGGATTTATTTTCGAAGTAACGCGTTGTTGCACAGACAATTTCATCTCGCGCAACATATTTCCGTGTTTGTTTAATATTTTCATGCGAATTTGAACACTATTCCAATCGTAATAGAACGGACTAACAGAACAATGCTGATATCAAATGAAAATTCTGATGTGCCCCTTTTTAGTTGCAACGAAATTAAGAAGAACATTCTTAGCATAATTGAAATTATTGCGAACAAAATTTGCAAACTTCCCTTTTCAATATTGTTTATTTTCTGATAACTCGTTGCAACTATAATGACTGCTGTCGGGTAGAAAGAAAGGGAAGAGAATATGTGAAATGCCAGAATTTTCTTCTTAAGCACTCAGAAATTTATATTTTTTCTTACGTATTTAAATTCAAATATATATATAATTATTCATTAAGAAAAAATATTCTCCTCCGGTTCTTTCTTTTACAATCGTTCATTTTTGAAATATTGTTCTCCGGCCCCGTCGACGCGGAAGAACATTTGAAAATTCAGTTACCGTCGCTCCCGTAAAAAGCTGGTGCTTTAAAATCCAGAATGGACGAGGTTCAAGCTTCTTCGTCGAAGTCCGCTCGTCACCGACGGGAGCAAAAAAGTTTCTTCGGGGCGAGAGAGCTCATTCACGTCGCCGTTATTATTAATGGGCCGGTTAATATTAAAAATCGCCGGCCTCGTTTATTCGCGTTACACGGTTATTTACAATTACACGGATCCGAACCGAACCATTTCTCACCTGCCTCGCCACGTGGCTCGTTCCTACGTGCCCCCCCCCCTCCCGCACAGCCGCGAGTCGCGAAACTTCGACGGGGAGCTGCGAAATGAAGTACGGTTCCTGGACGGGGATTTAATTATTTTTTGCCCGGCGGAGAAAAAAACCGCGGCAAGCAAATTAAGAGGAAGCGCGCCGCACGTTCGCGTCCAGCAAACCGGAATTGTTTCGTCCGCGGTTTTGCAAATTAATGCCTGCCGAAAAATGCGCCCCGGCCCTGGAACAGTTCCGCGACCGGAGGGAACCCGAAACCGTCCTATAAATAAATATTAAAGCCGAAATTTCGCTTCCCCACGGACTGCAAAAATTTCGGAGATTAAAATCCTCGTTCTTAATTAATAAGAAATAATTCTCTTGCGGTACGGTTTGCGCTGGATAACTAGTTGCTAGTGGAGTTTCGCGCAAAATAAAAAGTATCTGCGCGAATAGCAAGAAATCGAAATTAAAAACGAAATTTTTTCCCTCACTGATCATTTTAATAGATTTAAAATAATAGTTCGTTGACATCTCTAAATTCCTTCAACTTTCCTATTTTATTTCAAATTACAACCACTCAATTTTGCCATAAACGCATGAAATCCGCAGTCCATTCATAAAAACGACAAGATCGAATGCATCTAACATTTTTCACTACTTTTATTATAATTTATATTTATATTATTACGTTGATTCAATCGTTTTCTACGAAAGAGTCTTCGTCGCTTCGACAACTTTAACCCTTTGCACTCGAGTGGCGACTCTGAGGCGCCACTAAAAATTGGTATACGATTTTTCAAAATCATTCCAACTATTATAATCGCATTGTACTTGCCAATAGACACAATTTCATATGCATAAGTCGCAATGAATTATACAAAATAGAAATACCGTAGATCAGAAATCATGTTTTGGATTTCGAATTGAAATAGCTTCGACCGCAAAGGGTTAAAATAAATAAATTGCATCCGGTCGCTCGTATCGATTCGACAGTGTTC